AGCCTGACTTTCACTGCCCATTTCCCGCCCAACGTATCTGTCTATTCGAGAGCTTCGATTTATTCAACCTGCTTCTTCGAATACAACCGCAATGTATAGCCTCCTCGGCCCCGCTCTGTTTGCGTCTCTCGTTGCGGCCCATGGTCACGTCACCAACATCGTTATTAACGGTGTCTCCTTTGATGGGTGGGACATAAACAGTGATCCTTATGCGGAAACACCCCCAGTCGTGGTGGCCTGGGGTACCCCAAACACTGCCAATGGCTTCATTGCTCCGGGTATGTTATGCTATTGTTGTCCTCTTTAGCCAAAACCAATTCCTTTTCTAACTTTGTAAAACAAGATGCGTACACGACCTCGGATATCATCTGCCATCTTGATGCTACTAATGCTAAGGGCCACGCGGTCGTAGCTGCCGGTGACCGAGTCTTTCTTCAGTGGACCCCAGACTGGCCAGTATCACATCATGGACCGATCATTGATTATCTTGCTAGTTGTGGCTCGAGTGGCTGCGAAACTGTGGACAAAAGGACTCTCGAGTTCTTCAAGATCGACGGTGTCGGACTGGTGGATGGAACAACTGTCCCCGGAATCTGGGCCGATGATCAGCTCATAGCCCAGGACTCGGGATGGATGGTCGAGATCCCTTCCAATATCGCACCTGGGCATTATGTCTTGAGACATGAGATGTAGGCAAATGTTCCTGATTCCTCGAAAAACCTATGCTAATCTTGGCGTGAAGGATCGCACTCCATGGTGCAGGCACTGAGGGTGGAACCCAGAACTATCCCCAATGCTTCAACCTACAGATCACGGGTTCGGGGTCAGACAAGCCATCAGGTGTGTTGGGTACTGATCTGTACCGTCCAACGGATCCTGGCATCCTTGTGAACATTTACACATCTCTGTCGACCTATGTAAGTGATTAGCCGATGTTGGGTCTCGCTAATGCCTCGCTGTCCATCCTCTTGCTAATGTCACTTCAGATTGTCCCGGGACCAACTCTCTACAGTGGTGCTGTTTCGATCAGTCAAACCACTTCGGCAATTACTGCTTCTGGCACACCAGTGACAGGGACAGGTGGTGCTACCGGCGGCACCACTACAACCTCAACCTCTAAGTCCTCCACCACGACACTAGTGACCACCACCAGCGCTACCACTACTACCAGTAAGACTACCACAACCACTTCCGCCGGTGGGAGCGGAGCAACCCAAACTCCCTACGGACAATGCGGAGGAAGCGGTTGGGCAGGAGCAACTGCATGTGCGTCGCCAGCAGCCTGTTCTTCGTTGAACCCGTGGTATTCTCAGTGTGTTCCAACTGCTGCTTAAAGGAATCTATCTTACGTGCCATTTTATTGTGCCGAGGCTTAGTGTAGTGATACATGTATATAGAATTTGGAGCGGAGGAGCGGGCTATATATATCAGTTGGTCCCTTATTTTAGTCATGGATATGGTCTTCATCCAAACCTATGGCAGTCGATGGTTGTCACCGTCGCAAACCCAACTAGATATACTGCTTCTGTAGGCTATTCCATTAACTACCTGAAATGGTATACTATTAAGGCGATAGGAACCCGTTCGTAAAAGCTCTTTCTTGAGCTCATCCCTCCAGTGGGTGACTTCCCTAACCTCGAGCTCAGAACGTTGCGTTTGCTAGATTAGCAGCAAAATCGGCCTCGTTGAAGGGCACGTTGCCTGATCCAAAGTCCGTCGTATCCAAGGCATTTCGCACGACAGCTGAAGGTTCCAGGTTAGATTGTGCATCCAGACATTGGGGCTATATCTAGGCAACTTACTTGACATTGACTCCCAGGCCACCAACGGCTGTGTGCCGCCCACGGTAGTTGTCAGGCCGAGAGAATGATTAACAGGCCAGACGGATTCGTACTTGATCAGAGCTGCAGTCCCATCAAGCGTATAGCCATCTGTACTGCAGTTCCATTCACCGTGTGCCGATGGACAAACGGCCAGGATGTTCGAGGCAGAGGTACTTGTGCTGTCGGAAAGCCAGATAATAACACCTTCCCAATCGTGGCGATGGCCAAGTTCAGTCGAAGGCGAATCCTTGGGGAAATACCAGGAATACATCAGGGCATAGTGGCCACCCGAAGTAGCGGATCTCACTGTGAATTGCAAAACGGAAGCCCGTTAGTCAATGTATCTGGGCTATTCAAGAGATACTTCTGAAGATACTCACCGTATATTTGTCCTGTACTCTTACTACATTCACCACTCGAGCTTCCTGTTGGGTTGAGACCGGCACTACATGACAGGTATCAGATATGAAAGTCTAGAAAATCCTTAAAAGATGCAATTTTCTCACTCACTTGGTGTTTCCGGCTGCATCTACGCCCGGGAAAGGCACACAGCCATTGATAACCTTTAGCTTTGGCTGGTAGGTCAAGTAGAGGTTGCCAACGGCACCGGCCGGAACGGTTTGGGGCAATCCCACAATTTCGTCGTTCCCCACTGTTCCTCGACGCACCAGACCAACCGGGCTAGCTGTCACAGGCAGCGCGGTGAGAGCAGTCAATCCAGCAATCAGTCGAGAAATCATGTTGAAATGGAAAGCAGGCATAGTGTACTGCGACAAACGGTCCTTCTTCGGAATATTTATATTGTACGGAGTACTCCATCCAAGTACAACATGGTACATATGTATTTCCTTTGATCGGCATGGCTACGTTGTTAGGCCTGCTTCGGACATTTTAGTCCGATAGCAGCGGTCTTCAGCCCCAATGAAGTATAGCGGATGATAGCAGAGTCCATCTTGGAACTTTAAATTTGCACAAAAAGGCGAATCACCGGGGCCTGTCGATCCCACGCGCGAAAAAAGCAATCTAATCTGTTTCTCCGAGAATGTCTCAAAAAGGTTGGGGCATTTCTCCGCTCAAGCTGATATTTATCCTCAGTTGAAGCTAGTCTAGATTTTAATAATGTATTTCACATGCGATCCGGCCACAGAATATATATGTACTACATGCGATAGATTACATGATATCGCAACAACGGTTGTCTATGGGAACTTTTCCATGCGGCCGAATGCTCTTCGAGTGAAACTTAGCCTCTTTACGGAGTTTAAAGGATTTCCTCACAATTTGGTGATTAATATGCGGCTATTTCTGGCTCTTCTCAACGGCTATCGATGAATAATGAAATACAATAAAAACTCGGTAAGCCGAGAGTCGCATCACATTAGGCCTGAAGACTCAGAGTATGAGGTTAGTGGTTCTTAACATATAAGTGTAGAATACATCGCATTTACCATTATACAGTAACGGTTTTAATATACACCCCCTGTAGGGACCTAATATTCTCTCGCACAACACGCCATAGCTAATTATAACACGAGGTGAATTATCAGGAACGTGATCTGCACAGTCCTTCAGACCGGCGTTTTGTACACCAATCACACCAATCACGGTAGGCAAGTAAGCAACTTGCCCAGCTTTTTCAAAACAACCCCCTGCGCCTCAGCGTCGGCATCCTTCTTGGAAGATGCAATCCCAACTGAGACACTTGCATAGCAACCAGACGCTAGCGAGACTTCCAATTCGCTTGGCAATCTCGAACCGCCGCACGTAGTCACATCATCATCAGTAACCAATGGGATTGCAACGTGGATGCGGGAGAGAACGAAAGAGAAATCGGCCGGACTTGCGCATTCGTCAGAAACCTTTCCGAAATTGACGTTGAGGAAAATATCATCCGGGAGGTAAGGTTTGCCAGCAGCAACAACCTGGTTTGTCAAGATGGTTGCCAAATCGGCATAGACCTCACTGTAGGCAGGGCGCGGGCTATCCCATGCAGTCGGGGAGCCACTAGCACTGGAGAAGGCGAGAGCGGGGATCCCATTTTGCGCAGCGTAGGTGGCAGCGCCCACTGTTCCGGAGATGTAATTAACGAGCCCAATGTTGGCGCCGACATTTGGACCTGTGACGGCCAAGTCTGGGGCGCCGTTGAAGAACTTCGGGCCGCTTGCCTCAATGCCGTATTGAATTGCGGTCACCGGGTAGCTATTGACATAGCCAAGTCGAGGCTATTTATAGGATCAGTCTGCTGCTCTGGTGACGGCGGGAATGATACTGACCTCTGAGGAATTAAATCCCACAGCCGGACTACCAGATGGGCAGCTATTAAACTGGCATGGCTCAGTCAAGACAGTCGGCTCTCCTTCCTTTGACCCTATAGTAACGGGTCAATAGAAGAGCGGAACGTAGAGGAGAAAACTTAACATACCCTTGCCACTTTGGTTTTCGGCAGGCGCAGATACCACAACTGAGTGGTCTGCGGCTTGTAGGGACTCGAATAGAGCGCGGATGTTTGCTTCCGCCCAGCCATCATCATTGGATGAGATGATGTTGACCGCACTAGCGGCCAGAGGGAAGATCGCAAGAACGTCAAACCGCATACTCAAGGCGTCTGGAGGTGGTTGATACAGTGTAGAATCAGAGGTTGCTTGGGCAGTTTTATATTCTGCCGTTGGTGTTTCTTTACAACACGTGGGTGTCGATCTCCCTGGCCGTTGGCTGTGAACCTCGGGTCCACCACAATGTTAACGGCTCGGCCCAAACCCCACAAACAGAAATCGAACTGGTAGACCATCTCCTGTGTCACTTTACCTCCTAGGCATCGGGAACTTTATAGATTATTGTCTTACTTCTGTAAATTTCCAAGAGATGCGATGGTTTAGTATAGATTAGTACCATCCAGATATAAGCAAACAAAACTTAGTATGATTAATAGACTTGATAGGAGGCTATAGAAGAGAGAAAGTAGCAATAAAAGAGAACTATCTAATGAGGTCCTGGGCGAACACAGCGTCCCATGGCTGCTAACACAAAACTAATAAATGCCGAGGGCAACGATCTAGCGAAAGAAAGAACGAGATGGGTTATATCTTTGTAATTGGACATGCAGAACTTGAAAGCAATATATAAATCATGTCGATATCAGCTTAACCGAGGCCTTATACTCAGCTTGGTGGCGATCGCTCATTCGGAACGGGCGCTCTTCGTCTTCTTGCTCCTGAGCTTCATCATGAGGAACACCAAGGAGTACGATGAGATACAGAACAGGGCAGTGATACCCGTCTAAAAAAGACCAGTTAGCATAACAATCTAGGCCATGTCAACTAGGGTATACTCACATCTCTCCACGAATAGTATTTCTCCTGAAGATTGAACGTCTTCGCGTAATCGGAACCTTCAGAATACGGACAGAATGAACATGTCCCAGTCGAGTTCCCATCAGCTAGGTAACCACTCTGCGTGGCGAGGAAATCGGCCATGTATTGCCCGCAGGTCTGACCAGACGGTGCGGTAAACTGCACAAATTCCGATGGTTCACACTTGACCTTAACATCCCAGATCACTTCACCAAACAGCCCACCAACCAAGTAGTTGAAAGGGTCCAGGTAGTAAATCCAGTATCGCCAAAATGGCTGCATGAGGGAGTAAGGAACCACCACACCGCAGAAACTGACCAGGCCAGCGCCGATCAAGACGGGGTTCATCACAGCCGCAAAATACTCGTTCGGTGCATATGCCGCAATTGCCTGGCCAATTGACGTGTATAGGAGCTCATAGACTGTCTCTATATTAGGTCCTCGAATCAATCCTCCTTTGAGACTTGGTGTGACTTACAAATCATCTGAAGATAGACATGTCCCGAAACACTGGCCTCCACCGGAAGTCCTGCTGTGAAGTACCAACATGCGAAGTAGAGTGTGGCGCAAATGATAAGGTACGGAATCTCCGTCAGAGTCTGTGCTCCAATGAATGCGCTCCAGTGATAGGTTTTGGACTACATGGAAACTAGTGTTAGCGACACTTGTATGCCAGTAGGATCCCACTAGGGTACTGACCTTTTTCTCTCGGGTCTCAAAAATATCACGGTTATGCAAGAAGAACGGCTGCATTTGGTTGATACAGCCTGGGGCGACGAAAATGAAGTTGAAAATCGCAAAAAGTCTCAGTTGAAGGGAGAAGGTGCCGTTTCCGATCTTCCAGAAGGTGAATCCACTGAAGAGTGCGGCGAAAATATGTAGAAAGATCTTGTTCCACATGTAATCCTAAGCGAACATCAGCTTTTGCAAATTGATTTTGTAGACCATTGTAGCGACCTACTGGTGAGCGCCAGATATGAATACTGAGGCGCTTAGAAACCGTCTTGAATTGGAACCAGTGCGAGGTCGCAAAGTCAGCGGTATCTTCAACATAGTCGCAGTCATCTCTGCTGGATTCGTTGAGTGCATCAAGTTGGGAGAGTGCTTGCTTGCGCTCCGCTGACTGGTTCCAGATTTCGACCCAGTCCTTTTGTTCTGTAGTACCACCTCCTTGAACAACATCAATGATATGCTCTGCTGGGTTGGCATCCGGAGGGCATGGTGCTCCATTCCGAGCGAAGTAGTCCAAGATTTTGGTCGACTCTTTGCCAGCTGTAATCACGGATCAGCTACGAGTTGTTTGAATTTGACCAATTGCCTCAAGAGTAAAAGCTCACTTTCTCCGAAATATGTCATTTTTCCGCCCTTAGCAAGCAAGAGAAGACCGTCAAATGCGTCGAATAAAACCGCAGATGGTTGATGAATTGTACACTAACACATTAGTACTTTGCAAATATATTGAATCATAGAGAACTTACTAAGACAGCTTGGCCGCCATCCACCAACTTGCGAAGGAAACGCACAATGTTGAACGCACTTTGCCCATCAAGACCGGAGGTGGGTTCATCCAAGAACAACAATGCGGGCTTAGCAACAAGCTCAACGCCCAGGGTCACGCGTTTGCGCTGTTCAATGCTGAGTCCAGCTCCAGGTACTGTAAGTTATTAGTATAGCTGTCTACTGATATCAAAGGATCAAGTAAACATACCTCCAATGAGTGCTTGGCTAATATTACGCAACTCCAAAAGGTCGATGATATGTTCGACATAGGCGATTTTTTCTTCGTGTGGAACCGTCGATGGCTGGCGAAGAACGGCCGAAAAGTCCAATGCCTCTTTGACGGTGGCTGTCTCGAGATGTACATCCATCTGTTCGCAGTAACCAGTAGTTCGCTGGAAGCTGATTCCAACAGGGTGGCCATCAATCAAAACGGACCCATAGATCTCTCCGCTATCCTTGCGCTGAGCAAGCACATCCAGCAATGTCGTTTTTCCGGCTCCAGAAGCCCCCATAAGGGCAACCAGGTTTCCAGGTTGGACGAATCCAAATACCTTGTTCAGAAGCTGTTTCTTCTCACCGTGGAAAGGTACATGGTAGTCGAGGTCTTTCCATGTAAACGTTGACTGCTTGACCGAGCCCAGAAGTGCGCCAACGTCCGCCGGCTTTGGATACTGTGGCTTTTCGCCTTCTTGCTTTGTACGAGTTTTCTCGCTGCCTCGCTTGTAAAGCAGAACAGATGATCCACTTTGGCTGTTCCGGAGTTCAAGCCCGAGGGAAGTCAGAAAGATGAAGAAAATCCAAAGTCCAATGAGAATACCAAAGCTCCTCCAGATGTGGTGGACTGAATAGCTGTATTGCTCCTGAATGTATTTTGCCCCATCAATAATACCTTCATCGTCACTTCCAAGAACTGAACATCCACGGTGGACAGACGCTGAGCTGGAGTATCCGGCGCCGTATGGAAGATAGTCGGGCGCTATGCAAGTTAATTTGCGTCCAACAAACTCATTGGCCATGAGTGCTTCGAATGCATATGATCCCGGATTGAGGTAGAAGATCCAACGGAACCACACGTGCATTTTTTGGAATGGGATAAGATATCCTACAACTTATCAGTTTCGAATTCTTCGTATCAATGGTATAATCAATACTCACCTCCATAGACAAAGAATACAGTGGACAGCAAGCCGGATATTTTGGATGCGTTTCCAAACTGTTTGCACGCAGCGCCAACAGATCGGAACAGTTGTATGAAACACAATGTCTGCGCAATAATGATGATCCAAAAAGTGAAAAACTTTCCTGCGTCCATTTGAAGAGCAGCCATGAAGTAAAGGATGAGCGCGAAGCATGTTACCTGGAACATCACAACTGGGATATCTGTTATAGCGTTGGCAATGGCAAAGGCCGTAGGGCGGTAGAATCCGAATCGCTTCTGACGAGAAAGAATTGGCCGGCCCATAAAGGATGCAGTTGTCTCAGACAGACTCTCAAGGAGGAAATATAACACCGGGAAAAAGCAAACACCAGGGCGTAAGAATATTGAGCTTGAATCCTTGTAGTTTAAACTGTCAGGTTGGTCTTCACAAATGGGCTCGGGTGAAGGGCATTTTCATTACCTCTGGCAAGTTATAGAACAAACTTCCACAGACGAGGGCCTGGATTAAAGCTGACCCAACCTTCACAAATAGCGACAGCTTATCACCCCAGATAACTTGAAACTGCCGGAGAGCACAAGCGGCAATCTGGTCCCAGATATTCGCTGTATAAACACTGCTGTTCCGAGGAATATGCCGTTTGCGCTTCTCGCTGGATACTGCCAACTCAAGTTCTTCAGCTTCGTAGCTCAGCTTCTCAGGGTCCACGATAGAGCTCATTTGATCTTTGCAGATTGAGCTGTTTTGATACCAGATTTCAAAGTCCTCGGGTGTATTGGGTACCTTCTCTTCCCAGCCAGGTCGGATTATGCGCTCAGTAACGACAGTGACTGAAGTAAGGAAATCCGCGATATTGGCACCCTTGGGGCAGAGGAATCCAAGGTCTTCGAAGTACTTCCTCGCGACACTACGAGGGCCGTAGTAGGTGACACGACCGTCAGCCAGAACAAGAACTTTGTCGAACTGGTCATAAATACCGTTGCCGGCTTGGTACGTAGTGGTAATAATTGTCTTGTCGTTTCGATCCGCTTCGCGTCTGAGCATTCGGGCAAACTCTACCGCTGATTTCGAGTCCAGTCCCCGAGTGGGATTGTCCCACATTTGGACTGGACTTTGCCCAGCCAGGACCTCAGCAAGTGAAACGCGCTTACGTTCGCCTCCTGACACGCCTCGGATGTACTCGTTTCCTACCAGGTTCTTCTTCGTGTGTCCGATTCCAAGTGACTCCAGGATCTCATCACGATGCTTCTGCACGAAGTCCTTGCGGTTTCTCAGATGCTCTGGGCGCTCGTTGGGAACCTTATTTCGAAGGGCAAATTTCATTGTCCGGTTGACGGTAAGTGTCGGGAAGTGAACATCGTCTGATATCATTGCAGTTAGCATTGAGCTCAATAAATCCAAGTTAGGATTGCATGCCTTCGTTGTTGAACATGATCTGCTGACAGAATTTTTTGGCAGCTTTATGATCCATGCTTCCGTAGTTGGTTTTGCCGGTGATCTCATCAAAACTATCCCGATCATTGGAGAGGACTCGAAGAAGGGAAGTGCATCCGGAGCCTGGGCGTCCCAGCACAAGAAGCTATATTGGTTAGTTATAACTTTCCTGTTCACGGGTTGTGACAGCATACCATTTCCCCGGGTTTGACCTGGCCGGCCACATCCTTGAGGATCGTCTAGAAGTCAAGTCAGCATAGGATAACTGCATGTCGATGGTTGAATATGCCCACCCTCTTTGGGAGGTCGCCACGCTTCAGCAGTGCCACAACCTGTCGTGGGTCCACCTCTGACCATAAAGTGCTTCCCAAAGCAGCATCTGGTGCCGTCACTCGGACATTTAGATTGCGGAAGGTGACTGTCAATCGCTTGCGGATCTGGTCGTCGCCGAGCTCCAGATCGACCGGGGTTGTGGTGCCGGACGATGGAGTTTCCATGACGGAGGCGTATATTCCTGGAATAAAAAGAACACCTCCTGGCGATGGTACCAATTAAAATTAGAGTGAAGGAAAATACCATGACATCGACGCGCAGAAGAACTCTTATATTGTGGATTTTATTGTCGCATCTATGTTTTTAAATCCATATTGCCGGGAGTGGGTCATGCTTATCAGATCACATCAGATATGTACCCCGTGCCGGAATTTATATGCCTTCAAACAGATAAAACAAATGCAAAAACTATCGCGTTAGCGGGGACATCACTGGAGCGAGTTTCTCGGAGATATATATGGACGGATATATCAGCGACCCACTTGGTCAGAAACGGTCGTTCATTCGTTGGGATTCTATTTCTGCACCTTCCAGAGCTTCGATTAGATCCACCCTTCGGATATAGCCCTAGAGGTCCACTTGTACCGACGAGTAAGTCCGTAGATGACCCCCGGGACCTGATGGAGACCAAATGGATACAGTATGAAGAAGTTGTATTCTAGGTTATGAAATTTCCTGGTGCAAGGCTCCCATCAAAAGGCCGCAGCATCATTCGGCTGATAAACTGAAAAGAAGGCGTCCAGGTCCATGGTAGAGAAATCGAAGTCCCAGCCCATGTCAGACTGAGTGAAATCAAGTAAGTCTTCCCCGGATCCAGAAGAGCCTCCAGTTTCCGGGGTTCCCAGATTTTGCACATGTGGAAGGTCCCGAGGAGAGGTCAGTATACCAGGCCGTACTCCTAGTGACGGGTTCTGAGTAATTGCAGGGTTGTTGAGAAGCGACCGATGCCTGCGGTCGGGGGTAAGGTCTAGTTGTATGGCTGACCTTCCTGGAGGCACGATGCTATCCGCAGTTGTTGCTAATACAGGTACCCATTCGTACGATGGATTGATATTGTGAAGCACGGTCTGTATGGCTGAAATTGAGCTTGCGATCGGATCCCCGGCTCGCATGGTTGACAAGGTTTGCAATGATGCATAAACCCATGGCAGATAGACAGGCGCGACATCCGGGTTGTGAATGAACTCGTAAATGAGAGTAAATACAGAATTGCCAAAAAAAAAACCATGGTATCGCAATTCCTATAATGTTGTTAGTGGAAGTTTTTGTAATAACATCTGGTCCATTTACCAGAACAAAGTTATTGACACTTGAAGCTGCACATAAGTGATGGAGTGTTTTTTGGGCGGCAGTGATGGCGTGATTGCAGGCTTCGTTGAGCCAAGAAGGAGTTTGTCTTGGGCGATTTGTGACATTCGTGCTAGACTGGTTGGGTGCGATATTCCGCTCGCGCTGCCAATGGCCGCGAAATATAACGAAAGGGCGAAATGTAAGAAGTAGGGTATGATAGTATACTAGCTCTGGTCAGAGTTGGAGTAGACAATATTTCAACTGTTGACCTACGGGTAATGAAGATTATTTGTCGAACCCCAAGGGATCCCGCCTGGATGCCATCATCAAGCCCAAGACCCAAAGCTTGTTGTAGATGTGCTTCATGACCACGGATATCATCCGCAATGGATCGAGCGACTCTCCACATGTGCAGAAGAGACTCATGCCGCTGGCCATATATCTCATTGACAGATCGACTAATGGTTTTGCAAAGCTGCACCAACAATTGAATAAATGGATCCTGTGCGTACTCGATGGCGACATCTTTAAGGGAAAGGGAGGTAGGGCGTCCCACATGGAAGCAGAACCAGCTATATATGAAGTTAGTTAGTTCCCCATAGATAGGACTAAAAGCGATGATGTACGTTTCGAATATGTAAAGAGACCAGAAGGTTACCCGCCGTTCTTCGATGTTTTCCGGGGTTTGATCAACGTCATTGGGTACGTCCTTATGCAGACCTGCTGATAAGGCTTTGCGAGAAGCAGAACCCAAATGCAAGAACACTGAGTTGGGCCGACCTTGTTCGTTCTGGTAATTGGCGTAAAGCCTACGTATGTTAGTCGGACAGCAAGATAGACGGATAAGGTAGGAGGATAAGGACTTATCATGAGCATTGATATTTGAATAGTCTGAAGGTTCACCACGTCATCAAACGCCGTCAACGAAGCTTTGACACGCTCGAACAGCACATCACCCCAGGCAAAATGTTCAGTCCCAAGTGCCGCACTTGCCATGGCAAGAAGAACGATCGCTTGGGTGAGAGCATCTAAATGTTCCGTGAGCGAGGAATTATAGAGTCGGTCCAGGCATTGCTCATAATATATCTTGGGGCGATATGGCATCAGATGGTAAAAGCTGGAGAGAAATCGGGACAGAAAAAGCTTAGCCAGATCGTACGGCAGGAACATCATAGGCAACTCCCCTGTCCCAAGGGACTTGGTACTCTCATGAAAGTCTGGGGTTCCGAAAAAAATGCGGCGAAAGCTAAACAAGTCCAAGCCAGCTCCAGCTTCCTCGACCCCGCCCGATGGTTCAGGGTGAGAGGTAGGATTGGAGATGAGATCTCGGTAGATATGCTGCATGAGTGAGAAATGAGAGGTGGGGCCATAATACAGCTGCATCCGACAAGACGGCGATGTCATATGTGTTGCAGATACACTGTTTGGGAAGTCATTCATGACAGAGGCTGTGTGCTGCCCCGATGGCGGGACTCCACTTGGGGAGGCTTGACGAGGTGAATTCCTCTTGCCGGCTTCTTCATACTCATGTTTCTTCCGCCGATGGCGAATATAGTCTCTGTATATACAGGGTGTATTGCGCAATTGGCAAGTTTTGCACCTGATGTTATATTAGCCAGATACACGCACGGTCCGAGCATAGATTGAAGGATCTCACGGGGTCAGGCCATTGCATTTGATTTTACGTTTGCGGCATTCCTGACATGCCCGAGGGATTCGCCAACCGGGTTGAGCTTTATCCGACGTCTCAGACATGAATGAATATGTGTGCAATCTCACAGGTCTCCTGCAAGGGCAGTTTATCCGTTTAATCCGAGAAGATCCTCTGGCTATATCCGAGTCACGTGGAGGTTTGTCATCATTATCACCTGCCCAGGTGCCTGGACAGACCTTGAAAAGTCGTCGATCTGCAAGGCGGTATCAAGGTTGTCTATAGAAGAACACCTGCCCACGTGGGCAATATTCTTCCAGTGTACAACCAACCACCTCTCATTAGTCAATCAATATTCTTTTCCCGGGTAGTCTACGGCCCAGGGAGTCGAAGTACGTTGCACTAAGTCCTACGCTCCATGCCTAGCTCTCCCGTAGGGATTAGGTCGACGATTTCGCTCGAAACCGACGATACGTGTCTAACCCTCTTCGGTTTTCTACCTTCACCCAATAAAAAACTATTTCGATCTAGGTTCACACTTCAAATCCTTACATACCTACCCTGCACCTTTCGAGTTAAGATTGGACCCCCGGATAGGACCTAGGGCCTAATCTAGGATAACCCGTGCCAGGATAACCCGAGCTAGGATAACCCGAGCTAGGATAACCCGAGCTAGGATAATCCGACTTAAGATAGAACTAGGTTAAATTCTCGATCGAGAATCATTTAACAGACCTAAAAGGTGGTCGGGTTGTCTGTGAAAGACACGTATCTACCTACCTACATGCAAGCGATATTCTTCCTAAAGACAACAAATCGCCTATCCTTACATACATACATATGCAGTCAATCAATGTTCTTGGCCTTCGAGTCCATCTTTATTTCCTTTCGCAACGATATTTCATATATTCCATATTTTTAGGACGTCGTGCAAGAATTACCATCTAGTACTCCGTACACTGTTGAGAATAACATCAAATCATCCGAGAGCAGATGCGGGATAACTTCCGATCCGATGACCTATCTCCGCGATACTCTAAGCCATGTTTCTTGGCGTTTTAGAGAATCACAACTCCTCACAGATTCCGGGGTTATGGTTGGTCACCACTATGCCTACGAGATAGTCGGGTGAGGGAGTCGGCATTTCCTGTAGACTGTACCTAGGCATTGGCGCTTGGTACGCTCCCGGAAGGATTTAGAGATTTCCCCAGACTTGCGGATCGATCCACCCCCGGACTATATCATTGGTTTTGTAGGGAACCCGGATGAATTACCAAGGTACTTAGCCTATTATGATTGGACTTTCATAATAATACTTGGTTCTCCCACAGTCAGTTCCGACTACAAAGGCAACATTCCTGACTGTTGCCCGTGTCAGACTAAGTTCCCTTTCCTTGGCAACGGCAGATTGAGCTTCCAGCTGCTGAAAAAGCCGAACATCACTACGGGACTGAATCCGATCCCCAACAACCCCAGGTTCAACCGTTGCTTTTTTGATCGGGCTTCTGACTGAGCTATAAAATACCGGTCGCCCCCTATGCTCCCGAGGTCTCCCTTGATCCCTGTTATCCGAAAACTGCTGACCGCCCCCTTATCTCTTCCAAGCTCAATCCACTGTCCGATACTCCAACATGACTGACGCCGAGAGAGGCACCACGCCCATCGGTGATGAAAAGGCCATGTCAGACCATAAAGAGCGTATGATGGAGGAAGTCACCCACGGTGCAGCAGAAAGGGGCCAACTCGCGACAGATGAACATGGCCAGCCCCTGGTAGAATTTGACAAGGCCGCCGAGTCACGATTGCGACTCAAAATTGATTTGTGTATTATCCCACCTGTTGCATTGATGTACCTCTTTTGTTTCATCGATCGAGCCAATGTTGGTAGGTTATAGCCACTTTTATCTTTTTTCCTTTCCAATCCAAGCGCTAATCAATGTCTTTTCGGGAATAGGCAATGCTAAATTGGCCGGCTTCGACAAGGACCTTGGACTCGTGGGCTACGATTACAACGCCGTGCTCTCGATCTTCTTTATCGCATATATTGTCTTCGAAATCCCCAGCAATCTCATGTGCAAATGGGTCGGACCTGGATGGTGGCTTCCAGGGATCACATTGGGCTTCGGTATCTGTTCGGTCGCTACGGCTTTTGTTAATGATATGCAAAGTGCATCTGGTGTCCGCTTCCTTTTGGGGTATGTGTCGTAATTTAGCAAACTCGGCAATGCTAACAATTCTCTAGCGTGTTTGAGGCAGGAGTCCTGCCTGGAATCGCGTACTACCTCTCACGTTGGTATCGACAAAATGAACTTGTCTTCCGCCTGTCGTTGTATGTCGTCATGGCTCCTCTGGCTGGGGCGTTCGGTGGCCTTCTGGCCTCGGGTATCCTCATGCTCGATCATTTTGGTTCTCTTCGCAGCTGGCGTATGATCTTCGCGATTGAAGGCATCGTCACTATTGGAATTGGTCTCGTGGGATTCTTGACGTTGACCGACCGGCCTGCCACAGCGAAGTGGCTCTCCCAGGAAGAGAAGGATCTGGCCATTGCCCGTGTCAAATCCGAACGTGTTGGCGCGACAGAGGTCCTCGACAAACTTGATGTAGCCAAGACACTGCGTGGTATCTTCAGCCCAGTGACACTGGTAACCGGTGTAATCTTCATGTTGAACAATATTACTGTTCAGGGTCTTGGATTCTTTGCACCTACCATTGTCAAAACCATCTACCCCAATGACTCTGTGGTGTCTCAACAGTTGCACACAGTGCCTCCTTATGTTGTCGGCGCATTTTTCACTTTGCTATTTCCTTACCTCAGCTGGCGATTCAATCATCGCCTCATCTTCTTCGTTGTCAGCCCACCGCTAATGGTGACTGGTAAGTCCCGGCTCCTTGAACTTCCCAAAATATAAGGATTGGGGGTACAACCGATTCCAGGCTAATCACTATGGGGATTTCTGTAGGTTATATCATGTTCCTGGCTAGTGAAGATGGTATGGTACGATATGGTGCCACCTTTATTATCGCCTGTGGGGCCTTTGCCTTTGGCTCCCTATGTACTGCACACGCATCGGCGAATGTGATCTCCGACACCGCAAGATCTTCGGCTATTGGAACGACGGTGATGTTCGGCAATATCGGTGGGCTCATCAGTACCTGGTCATTCTTGCCTTTTGATGGGCCCAACTACCCTATTGGTAATGGGCTGAATTTGGCGACTTCAAGTACCACTCTCCTTCTTGGGGCCGGTCTATGGGCCTATATCACATGGGACAACCGGCGCCGTGCGCGCGTCGATGTCCACAGCGCCTTGGCGGGACTTTCCCAGCAACAGATTCAGGATCTGGACTGGCGCAATCCTGGGTTCCGCTGGCGACCATAGCTGTGTTGTGTAGCTCCACCAATCGCTTTTGTCCTATATCATATTTCCCGTCATGAACTGACATCTCCGCACACTAGCCTTGGTCTCGAACATTCAATCGATTCAAGCTACCCTTTTTGAAACTCCGATTCTCGGGCGAAGACATAGGTCATCTTAGAGAAGTCCATCGGCTTTAGCCACATATTGAATTTTGAGATAAATGCGCAGAATTGCGAGACAACCCGTTCTGTTGATATCACCCTCCCGATCCAGTAGGATTCTGCTCAATTGCCACACTATATAGCCCCTTAAAAAGAACTGACTTCGAAATTCGCTCCTGATTCCAAGTGATGTGTCCCGCAAGGACCGAGATGATATTGCATTAATGAAAACGCCGAAGAACGGACCGAATGATCTAGAGCTGCACAACATACGATTTTTACTTCCTAAGTTCGGGGGTTGCCAAAGTTTAATACTCAACCATGTCTCCAGGGAATTGCAGAACCCGAATATATCCAAAGGACGAGCTTCTCGGCACGGTGTTCTCCGTCAAGACACGCGAGAAATAGTGGGTAATCGGCTCGTCAAAGCGCACCCCACGCCAAGCAACGGTGCGTCTTCCCCTTTCGGACCGGAGAGTTGTGGTCTATGAACCAATCAATGTCTTCACATCAGTCATGAATGGGGCTTTCTCCAGTTTTTCGCCCCCCGCGATAAAAGAGGCTAACATCTCCCTGGTGGACCTCTGAATCCTTAACAAGCCACATACGGCACACACACACATTTCCATCCGGACGTTGTCCGAAACTCATTTTCAATGTTTGATGGAGGAAATGATACTCTTAGCCGTTCAGGTACTGCAGTACGGCGAACGGAGTAGAAAGTCAAGAACAATCTGAGAATGAATATACAATGAGACGAAAAAAAGACTGAGCTGCAGCGACCCTGCAGCGCTCAAGTGAAGCTGCATTTATTGCAAATTGCGACCATGGTGGGTTCGGAGACTCGGGTCACGTCCCAGAGGAAGACCCGGCAGCTTCGTCAAATGAGAGTCAAGCGGGCCTGGGCCTCGAGACGCAAGCTCTCTTGGCGAACCTTAGCCTTAGCCTGTCCCGGCGCTCAGAAGCGTATCATGTGTATGTCCGATTCGCGGCTCAGGTTGACCAGAGAGATTTCCTCGGTCTCAATGGGATTTCTTCGGCTGAAATTTTCCGATTCCCCCTCAACCCCAGATTTCCCCGCATGTCGTGGAAACCGGGATCCCATAGCTATAAAGGCCACTGCTGTGGCTTATGTTGTCTTTTTCCTCTTCTCCTGCAACCCCCGGCTTTGCCTTTGATATTATCCCCGCATTCAACTACATACTTGTGTGTTGCCCACCATGGCCGGCGGAGCAAAGAAACCAGTCAATATCTTCCGCCTCAAAGACCTGGGCGAGCCTAAAGAGGTCTTCAATTGGCGATTATGGTTTGCTGTCATCTCATTTGGCCTGATGGGCGCTGCCCGAGGTGTCGATGAGGGTTTGATCTCAGGCGCCTTCAATTCTGAAGACTTTCAACATTACATCAACTATGACTCGTACAGCGAGGTCGAACAGACCAACATCAAGGGAAATGTCACCGCAATGGTCCAGATTGGATCTGTTGGAGGCGCTCTTTTGTGAGTTCTTCCTTGTTCTCCATTATCTCGGATTTCCTGTTGCTAATCCGGTCCCTTCTTATGCAGTGCCTTCTTGGTTTGTGATCGCATCGGTCGTATCTGGGCAACTCGCCAACTTTGTCTTTTATGGATCTTGGGAATCGCAATTTTTATGGGTAACAGTGGCAGCTTGGGTGCTGTCTATGCTGGTCGCTTTATTGCCGGACTCGGTGTGGGGCAAACAGTTGTCGTTGGTCCTGTGTATCTTGCTGAAATTGTGAGTCTCTCGTTACAAAGTCATATCTTACATCAACTAACAAAAGCAAAAGGCTCCCGCCTCTATCCGTGGCCTCTGTACCTGTGTCTTCACGGGTTTTGTCTATTTGGGTATTGTACTCGCATACTTTGCCAACTATGGCTGCGAGCTCAATCTCGGCGATAAAACTCATAACCGATGGGTATGTGTGATCGACGCCGAACCAATTATATTGCCAACGCTGACTCAAACATAGCTCGTTCCCACGAGTCTGCATATTATGTTTGCCGGCCTCATCTTCCTCCTCTCCTTCCTCCAGCACGAATCGCCCCGATATCTAATCAAACGCGGCCAGCTCGAAAAAGCCATCTCTACTCTCTCAAAGATCCGTGGCCTGCCATCCGACGACGAATACGTTGTACGCGAGATATCCCTTATTCAAACGACACATGCAGCTGAGATGGAAGCTACAATGGGGTCTGGCGCAATGGGCGTGATCAAGGAAACCTTCATGGTCCCATCGAACCTCTACCGAGTCTACCTCACATTCATGGCCCAAATCCTTTCGCAGTGGTCTGGTGCTGGTAGTATCACTGTCTACGCCCCTGATTTGTTCAAGTTGCTAGGAGTCACAGGCGAGAACGAGTCTCTGCTGGTCACTGCTGTATTCGGAATTGTCAAGCTGATTGCTGCAATTCTCTGCGCTCTCTTCTTGGTCGACGTCATCGGACGCAAGCGAGCCCTCCTTATTGGCATCACCCTGCAAGCAATTTCCATGATCTACATCGCCGGCTTCTTGACCTCCGTTCCGGAAATGGGCGTCGACGCGAGCTACACGTTACCAGCTGACAAGAAGGGCGCTAGCGAGGGAGCCATTGCAATGATCTACCTTTCTGGATTCGGATGGGCTCTGGGCTGGAATTCAATGCAATATCTTCTGACTGCAGAGCTCTTCCCCCTGCGCATCCGTGCTCTTTGCACTTCTATGGCTATGACTCTCCACTTTGCTAATCAATATGGCAATGCGCGGGCAGTACCCAATATGCTTCTCCCCGTCGCAACGGGTGGAATTGACCCCAAGGGTACCTTCTGGTGCTTCGCTGCCATTACCGTTATCGGTGGTGTCTGGGTTTGGTTCAGTATTCCGGAGACGGCAGGTCGCTCTCTGGAGAGTATGGATCGTCTCTTTGCTTTGCCGTGGTACAAGATTGGTCTGTACGGTAACCGGGATGCCGATGAGCGTGACCAGGTTGTGGATGACAAGATGGAGTTGGCGGTGCAGACGCATGGAGCAGCTCAACATGTTGAGAGGCAGGATAGAGAGGGCCGGGTTTGAATGCCAATCGGGCTGTTATCTTTTTCTATCATTTTGATATCTATACTGTCCGTTTGCTGGTCATGAGAGAAGGGTTATCCTTTTTGATTAATGAAACTATCATGGTGAACCTTGGAATAACCTTGGAAAGCTTGGCCTTAGAAAGCTTGGAACCCCTTTTGAAATAACAATAACCGCGTTCTTGGCCTTTTACCGCCGCTGAAATACATGAATAAATAAGCCTATATCTTTTTGTTCCCGACATCCTTTTTTTGGTCCTTTATCCACGATTGTCCCAACATGAGGAATGCCCAGTCGACGTCCCATCCAGAGGGATGATGACAATTCTCGCCTTGAGCGCAGCCTTATCCCGAGACTTCCTAACAGATCGTGCTGAGCCACCACTTGTTCGAATATCCATATCCTCAATATCATTCAAGTATTCGTCCGGCAGATCGACCCGAATCAAAACCCCCCTAGGCCGAAAGATAGTCTCATTCCATTGCGAGACATGTTGAGCAAGACGTTCCCCGCGAGATCCAGCCATTGCCGAGATCAGATTACGCTGTTCTTGTCGATTTCTGGTGAGACGGGCGACGAAGATCGCGGGGATAGCGCCCAGAATGCCGACCATCAGCCCGCCCACTGCCATTGTACCCAAGCCTCTGCCAAGCACGGTGGTCCACTGCTGACGTGAAAGCTTAGCTTCGTCGCAGACTACTTGTGTGAACTCTGCCCAGTGGCTTTCCGAGACGCCGTAATAAGATAGTTCGTCTGGATACTCGAATCCTGAGGTACAGGCACCGGATCTGGATGGTACTTGCAGGCCTCGTCTGAGAGCAGATGCAACAGCAAACCCGGGCTCATTTTGCTCCGGTGGGAGGATGATGGGATTGTCGGCCTTTTCATCGAGGAAGGAATTGAATTCCTCGGATGGAGAATACTTCGGTGGGGCCTCGTGATGTCCAGGCGTGTTCATGGTTGGTGGAGTGAACTGTATAGATACAGCTAGCATTGCTTTTAATGGGGTTTGGAATTCGCCGTTGCTTTTTCAACTCGAAGGACCTTTTGATATCCAATGGTTTTTGATTTGTGAATGCCAAAAAGAGGTCCCTATCGTAAATACTTATACTTCTGCTTGGTCTACATCCTCAGGCATCATTTGTCCAATCAAGCTTTTTGCTGTTCAGGTATGACTTGGCCAAGCATCGTGGCAATGTTGGCGCCTTTTTTTGTGCTCGGAGTCATCCCAAAGGGCTTCCGAATTGACGATGCCTTGTACAGCCCCAAAATTTTCTGTTCGAGGCACTTTTGAGAGACCAATAGTGATTGGAGGCGTTACGAGCGGGGATCCAGATCCAGTCATTTAGTACGAGGATCAAGCCAAAGTAGATTATCAATAATGACGAGCCAGCCCAATTTGACCAATAGAGTAATCGTCAACTCCGACATTGTTGTAACTTCGTATGTTGTTGTATACTCCGAGCTCCGCGTGAGTCACCCGAGAAAAGGGACGTGCACCAGCTAAGCTAACACCGGCCCCCGACCCCCGAAGATCATCCCAAGGCATCATCTTTCTCCCAATTTCATCAAATCATGACAACGCGTTATAGAGTAGAATGTACGTCATATGCACTTTATTTCCACTTTATCTCCGCTAACATATCTTAGACGCCCTCAAGGTACGGCTATCTCCGCAAGAAATGTGTACCCCTCACTGACTCTACAGCCGTATAGACCCATCGCCGGGATCAACTAGTAAGTCGTTACATCTAAAGACTAAAGAATCTGCCTAACAGTCTGTAGATTGAGTGGATCAAAGTATGTCGCTCAGTCTATGTCACATTGGCCGATTCTAATCCCTCTAGGGTCTACTGGCCGTGCCCTTCGTCCTGCATTCCCAGCCCACCGCAATCTACAAGGAAAATGGGGAGGTGCTGAAGACAGTCGCGGCCGACACCCAGGTTCGCTATGCAGAGATTATGCGTGATGTAGAGAATTTGATGCTCGATCACAGTAAGTGTGATTCGTAGAAAATCAAGAAATAGGGGAAAATTCCTAACTCTTTGAAGTCCAACACCACGAACGCAATGCCCCCGGAAAATCGAAATTGAACCTTCTTGTGCCGTCCGTCGGCACTTTTTTCACCAAGCTCTATTTGGAAGATGCATTCAAGTATCAAGACCAGCATCGATTCATCAGCCGACGACGCTTCGTGGCCCCTTCATTCAACGATATCCGACTTATCTTGAATTCCGCCCAGCTGATAGGTCTTGTCCGCTCCAGCGATGTGAAACTAGTCACATTCGATGGAGACGTAACACTCTATGACGACGGCGCCTGCCTCACACCCGACAACCCCGTCATCCCGCGGATTCTGCGACTCCTCGAACAGGATCGCAAGGTCGGCATTGTAACAGCGGCCGGGTACACCGACGCGCAAAAGTATCATGAGCGCCTCCACGGTCTGCTCGATGCGATGCACGATTCAACTACTCTCGCCGCTGATCAGAAACGAGGACTGGTTGTCATGGGCGGCGAGAGCAATTTCTTGTTCCGCTTCGACCCGACCTCGGACGCCCGACTCGCCTACGTGCCGCGGAGTGAATGGTTGCTAGATGACATGCATTCCTGGAGTGAGGATGATATTACCCAGCTTCTTGATATTGCCGAGTCAGCTCTGCGTGCGTGTGCTGAAAATCTCAATCTGCCTGCTGCTATTCTGCGCAAGGATCGTGCGGTTGGTGTGTACCCAGTAAACGGTGTGCGAATCAGTCGGGAGCAGTTGGAAGAAACTGTTTTGGTGGTGCAGAACACGGTCCAACGTTCGGCAGTTGGGGCAAGATTGCCATTCTGTGCTTTCAATGGTGGGAACGATGTCTTTGTGGATATTGGCGACAAATCGTGGGGTGTGCGCGCCTGTCAGCGCTACTTTGGTGGCATCGATCCAGCCAAAACATTGCATGTTGGCGACCAGTTTCTGTCGGCTGGTGCCAATGACTTTAAGGTGGGGAAATTATAGAATTATCCCTTGGCTACTAGTCAAACTAACATCCCTTTTTCTGATTAGGCCCGTCTTGCATCCACAACTGCCTGGATTGCAAGCCCCGCTGAGACAGTGGAGCTACTCGATGAGCTGGAGCAGACGGTTAACCCGTAGTCATTGAACTGATATGGAACCCTGGAATAATGCATATATGCCCAGGGCCCGTATGTATCAGCTCTACTGATACACTTTCAGCGATTCTATAGTACTGTCTTTGGACTATTTTCATACTCACGGTAGCAGTCGCCTGTAGCGTTCTTGGTTCATTTGAAATAATTTGAAGGTTGAAATCGATGGTTCTACTACAACGCACTTTATGGCGTAGATCAAGAGTCTTCAAGAGAAGTAGAAAACTATCAAACAAGAAAACACAATCGCCCAAACTCCCAGGCATAAATGTCACGTAAACCATCCTTGGGTCTGGGGGATTTATTGCATAGCATCGTACAAAGCGTAACGGACGTTCAGTACGATCGCCCTCACCATCAGATTTTAGCGGATGGCTCGCCGGCCAGTATTTGGAAGAAAGATTCAAGAATATCCCGGGTCATTGGCACGGATTCCATGGACGGTTGGAAAGAGGTTGAAGTCCTTGGGTGGAAATCCTTTCAAGGGGAGCTTGGAACGGAGGGGACGGATCGGACTGTTGAAGGATCTGAAAAATAAGAAAGAGGGAATCGTTAACATTCGTACTGAACAGGGCGCCATAAATGATCACTGTACAGGGGAGCCGATCCCTAAGGCCAAGGCAGCAAAACGAGCAGCGATGAAACGAATTGGATAGGGGAGAGCGAATAATCAGGGTCGCTGTTCGGTGTACGTACTCTCATAGGACCGGGTTGAATCGTTAGCGTGGTTGCGTCCAGACAGAACATTGACGACATCCTGCAGTTCAAGCCAGAACTCGGACTTGGGACGACGCCGCTCCCAATCAGTCTCGGTAGCTTCCAGTCCAGATTCACCACCCATGGGGGAGAAGAGCACGCGTGAGCCTTTGACACCAATCACAGCGCTGGAGAGAGGGTCCTCGGCGATTTCATTGCCGCTCTTTTCGGCATATCCTTCGATGTGCTGCATGCACCTGATAGCCATACGCAAAGCACGAACACGATCCATTGGCGAAGGTTTTCCACCTTGCTGGAAGTGACCGGGAACAGCGGCACGAGACTCGAAGCGGCCCTTTGCCTCTTCCTTGATCATGTCGGCGATCACCTGGGTAGTGTATGTGCCGGAGGCACATTCGTTACGCAGAATGATCTTACCTGCACGGTTAGCTCCTTTGTCGCGGAGGAAGTTGTCACGCAGGAAGTCGATATCGCGCGAGAGCATTTTGATATCAACCCCCTCCTCGGGAATGTACACTGCCACGGCACCGACTGCGAGGCCAGCTGTGGTCGCAATATATCCAGATTTGCCACCTTGGGTCTCAATTACGAACACTCGGCGGCGAGAAGAGGAGGCAGATTGACGAATCGCATCACAGAAGTCGATCAGGGTGTTCAGGCAGGTGTCACTGCCCAAGGAGTATTCAGTGCCCGGGACGTTGTTAGAAATGGTAGCTGGGAGCACGATGAGCGGAATCTTGAACGCATCATACTTTGCACGAGCCTGGCGAAGCTCGCTGACGGCTGTGAAAGCCTCGAAACCACCAACAACAAAGAGGGCGTCAAACTTGTACAGCTTAAAGCACTTCGCAGTTTCCTCCATATCAGCAGATGGCAGGCTACGGTTAGTTCCAATGTCTGAACCACCCTCGTTGACCCAGCTATCAGCTTCCAGCCAAGTGACCTCGCGGACTGAGCTAACTGGCTTATCGGCGTGGTGACGGCACAATCCAGGGAAACCGTTGTGAATGGCCAGTGGGGTGTGGCCACGGGTTAGGCAGTATGCAACCGCGGCACGGGTTGCTTGGTTCATGCCACCAGCCGGGGCACCGACGTGAATAATGGCGATTCGCATTCTCTATAAAAGAGTAAGTATCTGGGAAAGTCTAGGGACCCTGACCAGCTCGGATGGGCTGGGGAATTAGATGCATACCTTGCCCTCCGGAACAACCAACTTCGGGTCGTCCTGGGTCGCAGTGGTCAAATATGCGTTGTAGTACTCCTTGAATTCAGGGTCCCGGAGCGTCATGGCCTCATCAAACTCCTTTTTGTCGATCTTGGCCGTCACATCTTTCGTTGCTTGAACTGCTTCCATCAGAGGGGTGCGCATGATCTTGTTCTCGCGGATGGTGATAACTGGTGAAGGTGACTCGGGTGACATTTCTAGCACGGCACGAACGGCCTCCACGCCCTGGAGGGTTGACAGCCAGCGGTCGTAAGCGCATGCCGCGCCACCTCGTTGGGTGTGGCCTAGAATGGTGACTCGAGTGTCCAACCCAAGACGATCTGTGAGAATATCCTTGATCTTCGAGCTCGAGACCTTGTTCAAATGGCGATCCTGGGCTCCCTCGGCGACAATAACGATCGTACGGCGCTTTCCGCGTTCGGTTCGGTTCTGTCATACCCGGTAGGTCAGCCAAAAGAGGACGATGATCAATGCTGGAGTAATTCCCACCTTCGTAATTACGGAGCACATGTCATCCTCCCAACCGTCGCTGGGGGGCATTTCAGGGAGGAACATCCAGTCCGCACCTGTACTGATGGCGGACATTAAGGCAAGCCATCCACAGTGTCGGCCCATGACCTCAATGACGAAACCACGCTGATGGGAGAATGCAGTATCGAAGACATCGTCGACGGCATCACAGATACGGGTCAAGGACGAATAGCAACCGATGGTGGCATCAGTCCCAGACATATCATTGTCAATCGAACCAACCAGGCCTACAATGTTCAACACCTTGTAGGGTTCCACCTGCTCAGGGGACAGTTCTCCCGAGGCAATGAGGTCTGCCAACAAGCCGGGCCACTCGGCACGGAAGACATCGGCACCAGTCAAACTGCCGTCACCACCGCAGACGACCAGTGCATCGATACCTCTCAGGACCATGTTCTTGGCTGCCTTCATACGGCCAACGCGCTCACGGAATGCCAAGCTGCGGGCAGAACCGATCAGGGTGCCACCGCGGGACAGCCAGCCGCGTACATCCTCCCAGTGCAGCTGGCGGATCATGTTGCCGCCATTGACCAGTCCTTCGTATCCTTCGAAAATGGCGTAGGCTTCGCAGTCGCAGTGAATTGCCATACGGACAACAGCCCGCACGGCACCGTTCATACCGGGAGCATCTCCACCAGAGGTGAGAACACCAATGCGGCGTCTCTTAGCCGGCTGAGTGGCGATTTTGGCGGGCTCCATATCGAATTGAAGGCTTCGACCCGAAGTACAGGTCGATAATCGAAAGAATGAAACGAGAAATGATTAAGGAGAAGAAAACAACTCAAAAAAAAAGAAGCCGATAAGCGTTGTAAAGCCCCAGTTATGAGTTGGTGGGGTGTGGAGGGGTCAAACCCAATCCGGTGAGAGAAATTGGGCAGAGGGTGGATGCTTTGCGTCACAGATGAAACAAGTTGAAGCTAAAGTATCAGGTTGGATTTAAGAAACATAAGGAATTATTGAGAAATTGAACAATTGAACTGTATTTCTCTAAACTATTTGTATATAATTCGCCCCTGAAAATTAAAGTGGTATGACTTTTTCTAATACCTTTATAGTACCTGCGTTCCCTTACAATTTGGCTGCACGATGCATGTCACCGCTTGGTCTATTTGGGTTTAGTGCAGGCGGTGAGGGGCCTGACGTCACTAATACGGCATTTGATTTGTTTGCTTTCTTTGGTCTGCCCATGACATCTTCTCCCTTTCCTTGAGAGATTCTTGTTATTTTCAGTCTCGTAGTCAACATCATCATATTTACTATTATGCTGCTTCACTATACCTTAATCCTGCGGCCAATTATTATTAGTGTACGACTGATCACCCGTGGACCCTTGGCAAACATGGTCTGACCGGTTCATTCATACAACCTCGGTCTATAAGAATATCACCAAAGGAGCGATGCCACGCACATTGTCACACGCTTTCTTATGCTAACGTTGCTCTTATTGTACTTGATACCCCGCTGGAAGCCTCTGACCGGTAGAAGAGTGCTCCATCAGTTGCAGGACTTTTGCAGTGCCACTTCATGCGTCCACACGAGATCGGGCATGGGGCCACGTTTTTGGACGCTGACACGTGCCTGCAGCTCCTTGTCGAATAATCCTTTTTCGAAAGTGGTCCACAGACCCCTTCGATCCCGTGTAGAAGGTACAAACTTCGGTGAAAGCTCTAAGCACCATAGTCACGGTACAGATGATCTTACCATCATCGGATACATGGCTAACTAAGGACGAGGGGGGAAAAGGGCATCCTTGGATTTGATCTAGCATGCTTGGAATATCAGCGTGATGCGGGATGGGCTAACGCCTATACGAATTTTGTGTCTCAATGTATTGCTCCTAGATCTCGGCAATGGGCTTCTTTGGCACCCTTTCTACGGTATTGATCACTTACCCACGATATTAATATCGCTGAAGTCCTGTGACACCTACTTGGAAAAGATGTTCGGCCGTAGTAGCTGAAGTCAAATTACCGCAGTCTAGAGCATCTCTCCATTTCTTAAGTTGACCCCTTCTAGGAACTGTCTTTATGCTTGGCGGTTGCTATGAGTGCATGTTATACTCTTCTAGGTGAAATACGCCTGCGATTGGGAATGCCCTCAGATACATTCATAGCTGAGGCTTTGCTATCAATTTTATAGACTGTTCAGCTGGTGTCCTCTCGCGACCAGTATTATTTAGCTGTTGCGTTGTCAGCTGCGAATTGGAAGTTGACGACTATGACTTACGAGCACGAGTGGCTACCCTCTGTCGCCGGGTCTTTGCATCCGCTCGTGCAGAGCTTGGGGTGCCCAACATCGCCGGGGTTCTTGCAGTGGAATAGAACATTCTTAATATCTTCGTTCTCTAGATCCGAACCCTTCAAAACATTTTTCAGGTCGGCCTCGGTAAACCCTATTTTTTTCGATTAGCCTGGCGCAGCGATGCTTGACGGGAAATGAGTTACCTTTGTCTTTGATCAGGACATCAGAGCAATAATCAAAGCTAGGAGTGCACGTCTTCGCTGCGAAACTAGTTGTGGCCAGTGCAGAAACTGTAAGGATAATGGAAGAGAGCTTCATTGTGAGGCAAATGAAATATTCAGGATATACCGAAAGGATGAAAGTGCGAGGTAAAGTGGAAATGATCGGACTATTATAGCAAGGTCATCCCTAGAGATTGAAGATCCATGAAACAAGCCTTTCCCATTTCTACGTCCAAGTCCCTAGGTAGATAGTTGTTGGTATGGAATGTTATCCGGAATGCCGTTACGCCATTCGCATGCCTCAGATATGGAGTCCGCCAAGATTCTTGGATTTATCGTATGGAATCACCCCGGCCTTTCTAATCTTACTCGTTGTGGTATTAATATATTTATATGGAAGGTGTTATAGTTTGTTCTCGGCATCTATCTATGTGGCACGGACGATATCGAAAAGGGAATGTTGATCAAGCTCAAATAAAGCTCAAAATCGCAAAGCTTGACGCCGAGAATGCCATACACTGACGCACCTCAATAATAACCGAACGCAGTGCGTCTTCCGAAATCTTTCTGTCTAGTACCACGCTGTTCCCCATTATGACCGCTCCTATCTATGTTTTCACGAAATCACTCAGTCCAAACGGACTGCTCCTTTATTCACATACATGGAATGTTCCACACCTTCAGAATTGTGGTGAATCCAGAAGGGAAGTATAGTCATAACGGATTTCGTTGCTAATTTACCTTAAGGATAGCTAGAAGATCATTGCATTCACTAGCAACCCTATACGTGCAAGTGCAAGTTGTATAGAGCCCCGGAAAATGTCAAATCGGTTTGGACCGGCCAATTCACATAGTATGAAAGTAGTCTCTGCGTGTAGAGGTAATCGCAATGACATGGGGATGCCACAGGGAACCAGCACTGGAGGGCTTGGAGTTCACTCACTCTATTCCCACTTGGGCAGTTTGATCCTTTAGGATAAGATAAACCCCGCACGATGCCTAGATCCATATATGTAACAGCTCCCATTTTCTCAACACAAAGTGGACTTGTTTATTTCTGATTAAAATTCCAGTTGCAGGTTATAGACTGGTTATTACGAACGATCGAATTGTGGGCATTTTTACATCCTTCGCCATGGCGCCGAATGATTCCGGTAACCGCAATCGACCCCCATTCCTGAAGTTACTGGGCGTGACTCTGGCGCAGTATAAATGGAAGGTTAACACAGTCTAGTCTTCAGCCTCGTTACCGCTGACCCAGGCATGCCGCGACCCAATCCCACCGAGTCCTACTGGCAGCACATTCCACATGCTCTCGCCGACGTCCAATCCTCAAAATTGCCAACTGACCGAGATTTTGCCATCGTTGGGTCGGGAATCACCGGTCTATCGGTAGCTAAAACCCTCTTGGAACGCCATCCAAGTGCTACAGTAACCGTTTTAGAAGCCCGTACGCTCTGTTCCGGTGCGACTGGGCGCAATGGTGGCCAGATGGCTGCGAATGCCGGAGAGCAGTATATGCATCTTGCAGAGACTCACGGGGTTGAAACGGCGGGCAAGATTGTGGATTTCACATTCCGCAATTTGGAGAAGATGCAGGAATTGATTGAAGAGTATGATGCCGTCGAGTTGAGTGAGATGCAACGTCTGCGGAAGCTGCGAGTCTTTTTGTCCCAGGGCAAGTTTGACGACTTCAAGAAAAGTATCGCGCGCCTGGAAATAGATCATCCTTCTAAAAAGGGGCTGTATACAATTTTGGATGCAGATGCTGTGCTCAAGGTGAGTCTTGTCACCCATGTGGTTATAGGCTCTCGTTCTGATCTTTTTCTTTTTAGGAGTATGGAATCCATGGAGCATCTGGGGGAGCACTACTTCCTGCTGGAACCGTCTGGCCTTATCGTCTCGTCACTAAAGTATTCGCCGGGCTCTTGAAAAAATATCCAGGTCGACTGACAATTGAGACACATACACCAGCTGAGTCCGTTGAGTACGTTTCGACATTTGCCTCACCCATCGCGAGTATCTATCCGTATACACTGCGCACGTCTCGTGGTTCACTACGAGCACGGACTGTAGTTCATTGCACCAATGGGTACAGCGGACATCTCCTTCCTCGCCTACGAGGGCTTGTCCATCCTTTCAAAGGCACAATGACCGTTCAAGATCCGCATAATGCTGTGTCAAATCAAGGAACTGCTGTATCATGGGGCTTCCATTACCCTCCATCCTATGACCCCGAAACCCAACGTATTGGGTATGGACTGTACTACTTAGGACAGAGCGCAAAGACTGGCTATTTCTACTTCGGCGGCGAGCATGCGCGTTTCGAAGAGTCAATATCCGCAGATGACAGCTTTGTGGCCGACCATTCCATTAAGCACTTGAAAGTTGTCCTCCCGCGATTCTTCGGCAAAGACGACAGATCCGATTGGCGTCTGGTCAGTTCCTGGAGTGGAATTATGGGTTATTCCTCTGATGGTTTGCCAATGGTCGGACGATTGTCAACGGCGCTAACAGGTCGGGAAGGTGACGGCGAATGGATTGCTGCTGCATTCAATGGATATGGTATGGCGAACAGCCTGATGAGTGGCGAGGCGTTGGCTTTGATGATTCTGGGTGAGGATGTCAACGATTGGCTCCCAATTGCATACGGACTTGGCGAAAAGAGACTCCGAGAGACGCTCACAGTCCCAGGCGCCATCAATGCACTAAGCTCGAAGCTATTTTGAGCAGGCCGGTCCTCGGTATGTTCGTGATTCAAACGGTAGTGCATTTCAATTCAGCCTTTATTAGCCATGATTGTACAGGGTATTCAAATTTTTTTTCTATCATTGATGTTCGCGAAATAGATGGGGAAGAAAAAATTTGCATAGACCCCACTACTTCACCTCGTGAGTGAGCCATCACGACTTTTTCGCTTCAGGCGAAAGACATTCAGAAATGAAAAAAACATGGACTCGCGGGGAATCGAACCCCGGACCACTCCCATGCTAAGGGAGTATTATACCACTAAACCACAAGCCCTGTTATTGAAGATCGGTGGGCGAGTATCGCCTTAAGGCGGGCCACAGTGGAGTGGTTCGGCCCGATACCAATCTGCGCTCTCTATGAGTCACAACCGTGATACCTCGGTGGACACGAAATCCATCAAAGAGGGCTGGTTGGGTGCTCCAACAATAGGAGAGGGTTTCCAAGTATGCGGCATTGAATGGTAAGAAGGCTTTTCCCAATTACCGCGCCCTGTTCCGTCGATACAGCGCACAGTGTAGATCTCGAGAGACAGTTCATGACGGGACAGAGCAATCTTCATCTTTTTTCGTTTTTCTGAGTTCGGTTTGGGAGTAGGGATCAGAAGTTCACCGTGTTGAGGGTAAATCGATTCCCAGGTGCGTTTCGCTTGGTCCTCGTTACACTCGGACTTTAGTGAACTGTTCGCTGAGATAGTGAAAACAACATCAAGCAACAGAAGATGGGTGATGGCAGCTTCCACTTCTTCCCTGTGAGAAAGTTTACCCGGAGACTCAATGTCCGGGTATTTGGGCATATTGAATGACACATCGAAGGTGGTGCCGAAGGGTGGTGAGGAAAGGTTGGTGTGAATCGCGATTGAGAAAGAAGCCCGAGGGGTCAAAATTTTCCCATTGAATGTAGACAGCAAGGGGGTAAGGAACTGTCCAACGAGATTCTCTACGGCTGGAGCAGGAGAGGTTTGGCTCTGTATCCTTGTCGAAAATATTCTTGCGGTGTACGCTGGGGGTCTCAAACTTGCCGAGTGCAAAACACCGTAGAGATCCTTCAGTAATGACTGAAGCCAGCGTACATGAGACATGTGCTTGATGTAAGCTAGAGCTGGCCGAATAAGTTGGTGCTCAGGAACAGGTCGCGTTTTCGGAGTCAGTGGTAGTGGGAGTTGGGTCCGACGACGCAAGTTTTGACGGTGGGCATACGCCAATAATATCCGGATCGTACGTGCCAAGCCCTCCGCAATAGAAGTCCCTTGCTGTGAGATACAATGTTCGGGTTCGGAGACATCTTCATCAGTATCAACCAAGTCCAGTAAAATTTCGAGGTCATCGGAAGCGGGAATTTGAATGAGATTCTGACGTGTCGTCACGCCAAAGCTTGCGATCGCTCGGGCTTCTCGGACTAGCTCATGGAATAGCTCATCTTCATAGACAGTATCACGAGCTTGCAGAATGCGGTCCTCAATCGTTCCGTCGCCGTTGAAGGAGGAACGCGTCGGTTTAGAGCATCCCGAAAGCCGGCCATCCTGTATCACCCGTACCCGGACAAAACGGGCTTTGGCTGGGATCAACCCTTCATCTAATGACAAAGCCCCATCCTCCGCTCGGCGTAAGGAAGCAAGGCCGCGGTCGCGGAAAACAGGCGCCGCTGTATTTGGTTGCGGTTAGCAGATGCTTCCTGCAGTATCAGTCACGTCGGTATGCGCTCACATTCAAGGAACCCATATTGCACGCCTAGCGATTGCCTTTCAAGCGGGAGACGAGAAACTTTCCACCCCTTGTCCTTAACAGTAAGCACCTCATTCCAATATCGAGTCTCCGCCGCAACTTCAGTTTCAAGTCTGGAGGCGGCCTGTAGAAGCTTGTTTGCCGCCGCGTTGAAATTTTGGATCCGCCATCCTCTTGATACTGCTGATACATCTTTGGTTGTCGATTCTGGCTTCGGGGGGGGGTTCACAACTTCGGAATTGAGCGAACCAAGGGGAGCGACTTGCTTGAGGAAAGCCGACAAGGAGGTTTCCGCCTGACGTGGGGCCTGCTTGGAGAGCAAAAGGGAGACGAAGTCCAGGGCGAACATCGTCTCCATGTGAGCTTGCCTGAGAAATTGTCAGTTCTCGCGCGCCAATGGCATGACTTCAAAATCATTAGACTCACATAGCAAACTGAGTGATCTCGGCACGCCGCTTGTACAGTTGCTCCAAGCGCTCCGTCGAGTCAAGATCGGTCGCATCTTGGTCACGTTCGTCTACCTCATCCAGGCCATCTTTCTCTTCCTCCTCGGCGATCTTGTTTCGAAGAACATCCTCGTTCACCTCACGAAAAGAGCCCCACTGATTGTTGATTTGCGCGATCTCTACAGGCAAGGTATCTGGACGATCACGCTTCTCAGGGATGGGGCGCAAAGGCAGGGTGAAGGAGTCAGCCATGGTGTCAATGCACCTAAAGATCCAACCCTCTGCGAAAATTAGCGAAACCAATGGCTTGAGAGGGGAAAGAAAGAAGAACAGGTGGACGACCTGGTCGGGACCTCAAATTCGGTGACGTAAGTCGCACGTGATCATCACATTGAGATAGTGCCTTTTTCCCAAATGTTAACGTTGTACTTTTCTTTTTCTTTATTCCTATCTGGAAATACTAGTGATTATATGGCTTGCAGTGCATTAAGTTTTATGGGACTGTAAAAGTAGCCAGTGTGCAAAATGTCGAGGTCACAAAGTGCAATATATAATGTATGGATGGATGTATCTATAGCTGTCCATAACACAGGTCCATTTTGCAGTTGATAAATCAATATCAGTTCAAACGAAATACCATTGAAAACGCCGCAAAGAAAAAGCATTTGAATTTTCTTGATATACCAAACACACATACTATAAATTACCCTGATATGATGTTAAAGTATGAACAATATTTTGTTTATCCGAGTCACGACTATGTATTCTCGGGGCTTTCCCCATTCTATTTTCTACACAATCATCGCAATCCAAATCTCCCATCCTATCTTACCAATGAGCATATTGTGAATCAGCTTTCTCTGAACATTACCTCCCCAAACATGGCGTCCTACCTAGTGACTGGCTGTTCTCGAGGGCTTGGATTGGCGCTGATCACCCGTTTGGCAAAATTGCCGAAAACTGAGGTGGGGACAATCATCGCCACCGCGCGACAGGACAATTCTGGTCGATTGAAGGAAATTGCAACTGCCTCATCGGGGCGAGTGCAGATAGTCAAGTTAGATGTCACCAATGAATCCAGTGTGAAAGAGGCCGTGGTGACAGTAGAGCACCAACTACAAGGGAAAGGGCTGGACTATTTGGTCAACAACGCCGGAGTCAGTGACTGGTCCCCAACAGGACTGGAAGGAATGTATGTTGGATACCTTATCAAAAAAGCTTCCTACGATATTGATTTCGTAGGGACAATCTAAACGAGACGGTCAATGTCAACGTTACTGCACCACATCTTGTATCGCGCGCTTTCCTGCGACTTCTGCGCAAAGGCGGGAAGAAAACAATGATCAACATGTGAGTACATTGGAACGAAACTACCTGGGCCTGTTTACATTACTCTAAGAAGCTGACCCAAATACAAGGTCGACGACTTTAGGCTCCATTGCTATGGCTGATGCGTTTCGACCCCTGTCAACGCCGGCATATAAGATCTCAAAGGCCGCATTAAACATGCTCACTGTGCAATATGCCCAGCAATATGCAGATGAGGGCTTCACCTTTCTTGCAATTAGTCCTGGTGTAAGTCAAGCCTTTTCCGTCATCTTCTCAACTTTACTAACCTAAAAAGTGGCTTCGCACGGACCTTGGTGGCCATCGAGCAGATCTTTCGGTTGAAGTAGGTGCAGAGAAGGTACTCGATATTATAAAAAAAGCAACACCGGAGCAGAACGGAAGACTTGTGAACATACATGTCCCTGGATGGGAGACACGAGAGGGTCCAAATCAGTATGATGGGAAAGAGATCCCTTGGTAATCAGGCAGAGGATCCATGGATATTTTGCCACTTTACTTGGAATATCATACCAGTAAAGAGGAGTACAATGAAGAACTAGAGGGAAAATAGTGGATTATTTCGTATTACTTCCTCATGGAGGTCCTAAGTGCCAGTCGCCTTTTGTATGCCATAAACGGTTATTGTAAGAAAGGTAATTCAGTCTGCTCGTTCGTCAAGTCTATCCTAGGGTTATCACTAGCTACTTGACATTCACTGTGGGCCACATCAGTCTTTGTTCGGCTGTCGAGTTTTCACGAAATCAACCAGGTCAAAGAAGCTCTTCTTGTAGTTTCGCTGCTGGGTCGTGCGATTGACGGTTTGAATGCCAAATTGCTGTGTGTAGTCTCCAAATTCCCAATTGTCGACGAAGCTCCAAGCGAGGGCTCCCATAACATGCACACCGTCTTCATATATTGACTTGAGAATTTCAGACATGAAGGAAAGATAATAGATGCTGCGTGGAGAGTCAAAAAGCTGATCAGAGAGCTCCTCGCGTTCCGCCTCTGCATGTACCGGAAACCCAAACTCTGACACCAGAATTGGGCTTCGGAAAGTGTTCCACAGGTAGAAGAGATACTCTCGGAAATATGTCGGTGTGATGTAGACGTATGATTCTGAACGATACCCAATGTTCCATCCGTAAACATTCTTTGTTTCTTGCTTGACGCAATATGGGAAGAGTTCATTTGAGCTTGATTGGTTGGCAGCGCAAGCCTTGATGCCTTCCTCAGCCGGAGATACCACCGTAGCGGTATACGGATCGATCCCAAAAAAGTCGGATGTGTTGTGAATGTGCTTCAGTTCGGATTTGCTCAATGGCTTGGCTCCAGGGAGGGTCTCTAACACGGACCTTGGGTACTGTTTACCCAAAAAGATTGGATTTGCGAAGATTCCCAGTTGCATTTCTTGGAAGCGATCAGCTGCCAGGATGTGGCTGGAATTTTTCGGGTCCTTGGGGACTCCAAAGTTATCGTTTAACTTTATACCAATTTTTCCTGTAGCCTTCAACGTATCATGATAGAAGTGATAGATCTCAGCATGTGCTTTGACAACGTGATCCACCCCTTTGAAATTGAATGCGTAGAGCAGGGGCTCATTGATGGTCACCCATATTGGGACTCGGTCTGCATAATGAGAAAGTAGAACCTGGGAAGTAAGTCATGTCAGACTTGCGTGAGGATTGATGACTCGTGGACTAGCAATCGTACCTTTCCATAGTTGACAAATGCGTTGACAAAAGTCTCATTTTGATAGCCGGCATTGTTGTAACCAATATCGGGGCGTTTCGTGATATTGTCGCTGGCGACAAACATTAATGGGCTGTCGAAATGAAGCATGGTAACGACTGGCTGCAATAACCATTAGAACACTACAGCTTAACGGACATGTAAGGAGATATCTGGGATTTTTTACCGTCATTCCTGCATCGAGGACTGTGTCAATCAAGTCATTATAATGGTCAATGGCTTGCTGATTGACAGGTGTTCCTGGTAGAACAAAAGGCAAAATCCGCGTCCAGGGAATTGTAAAGCTGTAATACTCCACACCCATTGCGGCCAGTCGCTGTATATCTTGCTTATAGAAGAAATAGTTTTCGTTGGTGACATAGTCCTTCGGCTTGCTGTCGGGTACCAATTTCTCCAACAACGAAGGTGCTCGACCATCCAACCCAATTGCACCTTCAATCTGGGCTGCGCTCCCTGCAACACCAAAAATAAAGTCTCTAGGAAAATTATAGCAGTCTGTAGGGCCAAAATAGTCGCGCGGTGGCAAGACTAGCTCACTGCTGGGCACAGGCGTGGGACTGACAGTTGTCGAGAATAACCCAGTGGTGGTCTGATTCAAAGTGAGTTTTAACTCCATTTCAAAAAGAACAAATCCCAGAGCACACGACATACATAGTTGCGAAGATCCGCCTGTAGCCACATCGAAGACCATGCAGCTTGTCCATACGGGTCCTCTGCGTCAGTTGCACTGATGATCGTTTGCCCTGGAACCCAACTGCCCCACGTTGAAGTCGACCAACTGGTGGTCAAATGCTTGACTACGTCCGTATAAGGCGGGGCATATTTCCGTGTTGTCGTCGGGGAAGGAACCGAGGTTGCATATCTCATACTTTAATTAGCAAGCGATTGTGCAAACTAGATCTAGGTATTTCTCACCGAACTGTCTCATTCAATGTATATTTGAAGGGCTGAAAGTGGTAATACGGCGCCTCATTTGATTGTGTACATTGTGGTCGAGCGGAGTAACCGGTTGTTGTCAGGTATACTTCCTGGGCCTGTATAGCCACAGCCAAAGCTGCGAGGGAAATGAACGGTGCTCGCATTTCCGAGGTGATATAAGACGTTTTTTTTGTCTTACACGTAGGAAGTGGTCCCTTCAAATAAGGGTTCTCCTCAGATGTCAGTGGGTGTGCCGGCTAATTGTCGGCATATCCATGGGAACAGTACGAGATGTATGGCGTCAAACTCAAATCAAGGCTTCTGTTGCAACGCGGCCAGTGCCACCATGTCATCTAACTAGCTGTTAAGAGTGCTGATCGACAGCCCGGAAGACGTAGCTGGTGAGTTGCAATGTCTGCCCAGGTGATTGCATCTACTTAGGGCGACCCCCGGCTTCCCCGCATTGTGCGCCTGCATATCCGCATCCGGTAAATTTGGAGAAATAAGGTTGGGGCGGCTATCCATCCAGGTTAATGGAAACCTTGTTCCGAAGAGATTGACAACAATTTCCACTACATTTGGCTATCACGTCATTTCAACGCGTCCACATCGTAGTCCTCTGTAGTCGTGTCCCGCCCGGAGAGGGCCGTGATCATGTTAATCTCAGTCGTAAGGGCACATCACAATTCTCACACTTTGCTTATGTGTGACATTGTCCTTTGAGAAGTTACTAGAATGTCGGCCTCGAATATGTCAGTATGGACCGCTGCATTGAAATATAGTGCAGTTTCTAGTCAAACTTATGTATTCTTAATTGTATTATTAATTGACTGTGTCTCCCATTGAATTGGGCTTGTGGTTTAGTGGTATAATACTCCCTTAGCATGGGAGTGGTCCGGGGTTCGATTCCCCGCGAGTCCATGTTTTGTTTGTTTCCCTTTTTATCTTTCTTATTATATGGTGCGGGAATAGCTCTAATTTTTTCGTCCCATGTGTCGCCGAATATACTTTAATCCGTCTCTAGTCATGATGAATTGAATGAAGCATATGATTCGTGGAGCAATTTGATTTTAAACCAAGCATCGGGATATATATTTCCACCCCTCTACTCCTCCCAGTTGAAATTGACCACAATCCGTCAGGCCACCTCAACCTCCCGTAGTTTGTCCACAGCCTCGGGCATGCGATTCAATGGAGGAAGCCGAAATAGCACCGAGGTAAGAAGCTGGGGAAATACAAAGTACTGCTTGATTGCAACCCCTCTTTTTGCTGGTCTCATTGTAAATGCCTTGACTAGACCAAGTAGGTACGATTGTATGCGGGGATATAGATGCGCCCTAACCGGCCTATCCGCTTTGCATTGATCGCATGGTTGACAACGGAATCCGGGAATCCTGCGAGATAGAACGGGACATCTCGGACTGATAATGATATGTCAGATTCAAAAAAATTATTCACAAAACGTGAATAACTACGTCCAGAAATTAATATAAGAGAACCACAGAGTCGCAAAATATGTGTCGGCACCGAATTAAGCGACAGAGGACAAAAGAAAGGAGAAGAGAGTAAAAGAAACAAAGAAATAGACCAAGTTCAATCCCAAATCAGCCACCCAGTCGAACCGCCAATGCCAATCAGAAACAGCACGGTCAAAATACCTGCGCCAGCCTTGTCGCCCGTAGTTATGTCGTAGTTGAGACCGGGTGGTATTTCTTCTTGGGGCTTACCACCTGCATTCGGGTTCCCTTTACTCGTCCCACCGTCATCCTTAGTGACCGGGGCTGCCACACGCGTGATCAGATTCGCTTGAATGACTTCAAGGGCAGCCATCTGCTGACCGAAGTCTTTCGTCTTATCCCACTTTTGCTCTGTCCACTTGAGACCACACACATTCTTATTGACACCACCGGTACAGGTCTTGGCAGCTGCCTTAGCAGAGGCCTTCAGCCGTTTCATGACTGTGTCGTATGTGAAAGGGGCCATCTGAGCAGTTTGAGCCATCCAGCGGGAAAAATAACCCTTGAAGGACCGCTGGTCAACCATGCAAGTATTGACGGTCTCACAGGCTCGCTCGTACATCACGTTGGGTGGGTCGTGAGAGAAGAAAACACCAGAAGAATCAATGATCTTCTCGGTGCGTTCCTTCCATTTGGGATCTTCGGTCTGCTCAAAGTGTTAGACTAGATAATGTTTCGAAGCATCGGGAGCTATCAAAAGGCAGAGTTCACTCACCAAGTTGTACATATTAGCTGCACCAAGCAAATATACTCCAGCGTTATAAGTCCATTCAATTTGGTTGATTGGCTTGCACTCAGTGAGATCACTAGCTCCATCCAAGAAGCGATACTCGGGGGTCATGAATCCGACGTCGGCACTCCAGTCCCATGCCTTTTCAGCCCAATCCTGGTACGTTTGATTTTTGGTGTACTTTGCCAGGCGAGAAGCAAGATTGAAGAATCCGCCAGTGGAGATGGTGTTCTTATAGTTGTAGCCATTGTTCCACGTAAAGATCTGCCAACGCAAGCCACCACCACACGAAGACGTGTCCCACCGAGGAACTTGAGTGTTGAAGACAGCCTGAGCCATTTCAAGCCATTGGGGTTGGTCTGCTGGTGGGTTTGGGAAGTTTCGCTCCGCTGCGGTCATAGCAGCAAAGGCCCAAAAGACTTGGTCGTCATTTCCTTCGGTTTTGCTCTGGTTGGCCGGCATGAATGCTTTGTTCTCGCCAGCCTGCCAGAGCATTGCTTGTATCGTGATGTCGTTCCAAGTATCATCGCCCGTGTAGAACCAGTAATCGATAAGGCAGTTAAACAT